TTTTTAGAATGTCATCATATTATAAATACTTTGATATAATTGACATAGCTTTATAATAAACCAGTATAGCTATACTTTGCTTTGGTGGAGCGGCTTTAATGTGTTTACATTTCAATAATCAACAATATTATGTAATAATAATGTATTTCGAGATTTCTATCGCATATCGAAGCTTTTGTTTTACCTTTTTTTTTTTCGAATTGATCAAATCCTTTCACGTTGTTTCAAACATATATGATTTTACGGGAAAAAATATCATGGAAATTCATATATAATCAAAGGAAAGCTTAACAAAATCAAAAGGAAGCTGCATTAGTAAATTCACATTTATAAATATTACAAATATTTAAATTCAAGTCTTTATTAAATATGCACTTAAAAACATTTTTCACGTTCTCGAAAGTTTATTAATTCGGTCATTAGTCAAGTCATAACACTATCCGATTTGCCTGACATTGATTTTGCCTTTGTTTACAAATTATCATTTCCAAAGTATTTCTTGATATACTGAAAAATGATATATGTTGTCCTCAGAATATGATGTTAAGTATCTATGAATTTTCGAATTAAATTTTCGAAAAAACTGGGCCACAATAATATAGGCTACAAATAACAATTTTTTGGTCATATTTAGAGTGATATTGCGGTTAAAGAACTTTTATTTTTCCAATTTTATACTACTACTGTTTTAAAATGCTATCTTTTGTCTTCAAAATGAATTTTTTTTTGTTTATTTTAAGACCAAATTACATGGGTTTGAAATGTTAACACATATTATGTATAGCTAATAAGTGTCTTAATTCACGTGCAATTTTATTTTTACAATTATAATTTACATGATTTGTTCTTCTTGGAAATAAAAAAAAATTGATGGAAAAAATTGATTAAAAGAAAAATTTTAAAAAACGTAACAAAGTCTCCTCCACGTGTACTCTGGTTACATATCATAGTTAAATTATCTTCTAAAGATTATCATGCTAATCTCGAAATATCAAGTCCAAGAAAAAAACAAATTAACTATAAAAGATAAAAGTACATACAAACCAATTATAAGATATAATACTAGCTATACATGATAAGCCCATTCAAATGTAACTTGGTCTTAAAAAATCGTACAAAAATAAAAGAAATTCATTTTGAAAATAAAAGATAGTATTTTAAAATAATGTAGACGAAATTGAAAAAAATTAAATTCTTTTAAACGCGAGGTCGTTCTAAGTATAATAAAAATTATCATTTTTTTGCTTATGTTATTTTCCTCAAACGTATGGCAGAATATTTCTGAACGCAGATTCAAATTCAGCGATACAAAATCTTTGAGAAATAACACAAGTCAAAGATGAAAAAAACCAAACACAGTCGGATAGTGTAATAAAAAGAATTTTTTCTCTTTCAATCTTCTTGAAATTTTGAAATTCTAATTAAATATCGAAAAATTTAAAATTTCTTCAATAATAAAATTATTCACTAACACTTTACTTGAAAATCAATAATGCTAATCTTTAATGTTAACACTGAACTTGTATGTTGCGTCATCAGTTGATAAATAATTCTACCTTACATGTTTACTGATAAGAATGTACAAATAACTTTGTAGTTTTTCTTTTCGATATTTGATTTAATAGTATATTTAATCATTCCTATTGCTAGAACAAAAATAAGAAAAAACAGATGAGAAATAAAATGCTTTTCTTCGAGAAATGACAACAAAATGTGCTTTTGTCCAATTTATTAGAGGTCCGATTCGAATTACTACGAGCAATATGTTGACACATCGTAAATTGTGCGAACGTCAAGATTGAAAGCGATGTACGTGTGACGCTGAAGAGTGCATTAAATGACAAAACGCTTATTTAAATCGCCATGAGTCTCGTAAAATCTCATATTTCTCTGCATTCGACTCGATAGCTGGCATTTTCTACGATGTGTACATATAGCGTAGAACTGTGACTGGTGTATTCACACTGAAAGAACCGCGGAGTCGAAGAAACACCGAATCTGTTCTCTTTAAAATATACTTTCTATGCATTCTTTTCTCGTCATCTTCCCTCTCTCAACCTGTCGTTTCTCGCTAAAATGCATTTAAAAAAGTACAACCAGCTATAGAACAGGTCTAACGATGCAACGGTATCACTCGGGAAGTACTGAAATCTCACTCCAAAAGAATGAAAATACTGCTATTTATTAAAAAGAATGCAAATATTTTCTTTCTTTTTCAATAGTATTTTCATGTTTTTGATAACATAATATCTTAAGATCATACTTAAGATAGATTTAAATCTATCTAATTAAATAAGAATCAACAGATTATAAATACCAGTCTAAAATTGAGAATAAGAACTAGCACACTTTAAGAAGCGATATGTATCGAAAGTGTAGAAAATAACTTATCTCGATATCTTGAAAGATTATCTTTCTGCATGTATGTATTATACTTGTATTAGTTTTCTGTTGATATGCACATTGACGTTCTTGACTAATCAATTGCGTCGCAGAAAAGCATAAAATCACAATGGGATTCGAAATCTATGCGAGTATATCCAGATGTATATGCTACATGTCAATTTCATAGACAAGAAAGCGTGATCTTCAACTTAAACGGATGGAGTAATTGCTGCAAAGTCAAATTCCCATATTCATTTAAATTTATCTTCCTATGAGAGAAGAAAAAGAAAGAAACTAGAGAAAAGAGAGAAAAAAAATGTCTATGAAAAATCCTTATGAAGAACAGGCTCTCTCTCTCTCTCTCTTTCTCTGTCTCTCTTTATAACATCTGTAAACGGAGAAACTAAAGCTCGCAAGCGATTGGTTGGAGCGCGAAGGCGTGCAGCCGCGCCTCCAAGTCGAAATGTAAGCCACGTTTCTCTCTCTCTCTCTCTCTCTCTCTCTCTCTCTCTCTCTTTCCCCGTTCTTTTTCTTCCTACAATCCTTAATAATAGAACAGTCGTGTTACGTGGACGTGATGTGACTTGACTGCGTAATACTCACTGACGGAACGTATACACGCGTACTGTTCCTAAGTTTACACTCGTGGTAAACGACGATGGGACGTTGCAGCTACCACGAAGTTCTTTGCCTGCGATGAGGTCCGACGCTACGGAACCGTCGCACCTAGGTCGAATTTGACGAAACGCAACTTTCTGTTACGCGCTATTGTGTTGTGTTGTCGTTTCCATGCACCGCACCCGATAAAAACACGTACGGATGAATCAGAACACTACTGCAGATTGCTGCAGACAGTGCAGACTGATCAGGAACCAGGAGTAGGACTGAACACAGACTCAGGAATCTCAGGACTGGCATGGACTCAACTGATTAACTTGGAGTCGTAGATTCTAATAGCTTCCCACTACGCTTGCTGCACTTGAACTGACTGAGACCAACCGAAGCGCACGCAATAAAACGGGATAGCAGCGCTAAAGTTCCGTACGCACGCGCGATGTAGGTATTTCGGTCGTCGGTGAATGTTCACTAGAGTTAGAGTTAGTAAGACATTCTAGATAATCTAGGTTCCGTTAGTTCTAGGACGCATCAGATTTCCATCAAATTGCTCCTCAGGTATCATGTTATCCTTGTTTAACATTCAGTGAGCAATAAGAATAAAATGAATGGCACTCAGATGGAAATCTGAGGTTTGTCGCGTCGCATGCTCCAACATGCTCCTGCCATAATTCCTATTCACTCTAATGAGGGCATTGAAGTGAGAAAGAGCTATGATAGGAGCATATTGGAGCATACGACGCGACAAACCTCTAAACACAATCCGGGCAGGTGGTGGAAGAATAAGTCGCCCGCATGCACGGTAACCAAAATTCCTCGTGAGAAGTCGTCGTAGATTATTTTGGGAAATACGGAAAATAATCTCATGAAAAATTTGACTCGTGGATAATTATATCAATAATAAAAAAATTATATCAAAATTATAGCTGCTTTCCTTTTAAAAGATACAATCCACAAAAGTTCTATTTTTGTTATTCACTGATGTCCAACAAGGACGACATCCAAAAATGACATTTGTGTCGAGTATGTCCTCTAAAAGGTAAATAGCTTATAATAACAAAGTTGATAAATATAATATATCGTGTTGTAATTTTGTAATGGACTGACCGATCGTACTGATGTCATAATTGCATGAGTTTCGTGAAGTTGACGAGAGATGTCGCTATTGTGACGTTAAAGCGGCATCATAATAAATGTGCGTTCGATGAGAAACAGACCAGTTCCATGAATATGCGAAGAAAGGCGGAAGTAAGGTATGCTAGATAAGTCTAATCTACAAAGAATAAAAACAAAAAGAAGTTTTTCTGTATAATATAAAGAAAGATATCGAACTCACTTGTTTTTTCTATATTCTTTGAAGAAAAAATGCTTCGAGAAATCGTACTAGGATATTAATTAATTCGATCAAAGATGACATAAAAATATTTTTGTATTTAGGTCACAAATGTGCAAATAAAAGGCTATTTATTATCTGATTTTAATCTTGCAAAGTATCACATAACTAAAATACTATATTAAGGAAATTTATGATGTATGTAACTTATTATTATAATGTTTTTATATATTTTTATGTGATATTTTTCAGAATACAGCTTACAATTAGTGACAAATTTGTAAGTTAGAAGGGACAGTCTCAAATTTTAATTTTTCATCACACTTTACAACGCGTCCCGAATTTTGTTTCTAATCAAGAATCTGATTATAAATTATCCCTTTTTTATGTATAAAAATAATAAATGAAATAATTTAATCAGTATTTATAGTTCGCTCTTATTCTATCTTATTCTATTATTTCAAGAGTCACGTCTAAGTAATGTCTTAAGACGCTAATATTAACATTTTAAAACATTACTTATAGATGGTCTTGAAATAAGAGAAGATTATCATGAATACTGACCAATAATTAAAAATAAATATAAAATATAATGTTTAATAATATGTGAAGAACGTTATGATTTTTTATTTAAAAACCCAGATATTATTCATAAAATATCTTCAATAGAAAAGTACAATTTTAAAAAATAAAGAGCAATTCCGTAACTTGATGTAATTTATTTTGTTGTGATCTCGTGTGATCATCTCAAATCATAAGATGCACCACAATGTTAGATCATTTTTTAAAGGTGTAATATTGTATATATTTTTGATAAAAGAAAGAAGAATATGAAGAAAAAAGAGAAGGAAAGAAAAAAAAGGAAGAAGAAAACGAAGATAAAAGAAAGAGGAAGAAAAAAGAAGAATTTCTTTTGTTGCGCTTAATGATGAAGATGTTACAATGATAAAAACAGTGTTGATCGTCAAAGATACGTAAAATTGCATTATTTATATTTCAATACATAAATAAGCAGCATATATAGAATATTTTATGTAGAAAAGGAAAGATTTCTATTGAATAGTAATTTATTATACAGACATAGTAAACATGTTGACTAAAGCATCGAGTTGTTGAACATTTGAAATTGAAAATGTTGGATTTGTACGTAAGATAAAAATGTAAAAACACATTTTTTATGATTAATTTATTAGATTATATATAATTAGATTATATAATTAGATTATAATACATATATAATTTCAT